GACTCACAACTCTTCAACCGCCTCCTCATGCCAGTAGAAATTGGCATTTCATGAAGAGGAGAGGCGGACATGGGTTTTTCAGGTAATTGTTGATGTCTTTAGGAAAAGGGGTTCTTTGGGGTATTGATAAAACGTTATTGAGAAGATTTTTTTCCTGGATCCCCAGGTCGTCCTAATACTTGAGAACCTTTGCGAAGAACTGTTAGCATTTCATAAGTGACTTTACAGTTCTTTAGTCCGCAATTTGTGCCACTGCGTGCTGGACAAAGGTAGGAGTCGCAATATAGTGATGGCTAATTGGTAAACGTAATTGGCGTCGCTCCCTTGTCAGTCAAGGTCATCCGGTGTAGGCGCTTATTGTGGTCCACTTTGGTCTGCAATTGTCGGCTTTAGTCTATTCCATGTTTCTGTGATTTGTTTGTACACTCCAATAAACTAAATACATTGTTGCATGCATGCATCATTGAATTGCATGGCCTTTAGATATGCTTGGCCTATTTTGGTTGAACAAACTTCGACGATGCCTGTTTTGTCCAAAACAAAGTTGTGACCTGTGTCAAAGCAATGCATAGCCATTACAGACAAATGGTCACGCATCGTAACTGTTTATTGTTGTTCGTTGATATGTATGGAAACGGATCTTTCCGGTTGACTACAATATACGCTATCACAAGCTTCGCAGGGGGCTTTGTAGATTACTTTTTTTCTTATTAAGTTAGACAACAATATAAATCGCGTGCAGTAGCTCGGTTCATACAGTAGACATCCGTTCTTGCGCCATGTTAATTGGTTGTTTCGGAAAGGGCCTTTCGACTTATTCAAACACATATAAGGCAGGTTTCGCTATGTATTTGTTTTGGGCGTCTGAGTATAAATATTTTGATCTTTTTCTCTTCAATGGTTGCTATTTCATGTATCGGCCTACGAAGTACCTGGGGTTACTATTGCGAAAAAAACGAGTCAAACAGATAACTGACCTCGAATCAGAAAATTTTCGTTGTTAGAGCACTAAGTCTTTGCTCGGCGTAGCATACTGTTGACGGCATTCCTTTTGTGAGAAATGACGTTTTTGATCTCCTGGTTAAGAATAACTTCCGCGTTCCAGTATTTGCGGTAAACGGAAGTTTGTAATCTTCGTTAAGTATTTCGCTTCGGGAGAATATCCAATAATGGTGGTTTGTTTTTAACCTCCTTTTCCAGCGTGAGTTGGCTGCACAGAACTCAACTTAATCATCGCTATTTGTCAGGTTTCGGTGATTGTCTAATAACAGTTCGTCAGTGGCTTAAAAATCGAACAATTCGCTTTAATCGATACGGCGTGATATTTACACTAACAAGTAAGTAGCTCACAGACTATGCGATTTTTCCTGGACGCATTCGTCCCAACTGGATGAATGGAGCCGCTTCATATTGAACAATTCATGGTTCTTGAAACCACCCTACCATTCTGGGCGTTTCCATCCAGAGGCAGTACATTAACTGCGTGGCCTAGTAAGGAAGGTACGTTAGATAATCTAAGTCAGGAATGCGGCAACAGTCTGCGAAATATTCTTAATCCATCGAAAGGCGCGTTAGCACGCATATAAAAAAACTACAAATTTTCGGAAAAAATTCTCATTTCGTTAACGATTGAAAAGGCGTATTGGCTAACAGCTGGTTTCGGCCATTCAGTTCAGGCCTTTACAATGGCAGGGAAAATATGCGAGTAACTGCATGTACCAGCGTCTTTTGACAACGGAGAACACCCTTTTACCCAGGCCGTTAAATTAGTGTGTTGTAGCCTCGTATATGACCTAAAAGGTCTCCCTCGCGTCAACTTGGTGATTTGTATCGATATTGTGTGCGAGAATTGAGTTTTAGATCGATCGATTTTCACCTTTACCTAGCCAGGCTGGTATGTGGTCGCTTGCCTTCTTCTCCAGACGTCTCGTTGTTAGGCCAATATATCCCGCCCGGCCACTTCGACACGGGTCCTTGACAACCATATCAAGATACAACCAGA